GTGTGTGTGTGTATATTAATAACGTTGTGTGCCTCTCCTCTGGCTACACACTCTTTGAGTAAATCTCAGACGATGCTCCAGTTGAAATATTGACTGATTGTAAAGTGACTGAGTGTTGATCACATGAAGTAACGTGTCTGAGTGGAGTAGGAGTCATGATGACACACTTTGTGTTGACGGACTCGTCCTGTCAGATTCTGGAGCTGATCCCAGTTTAGTCTGAACCTAAACATCAACGGTTCCTCAGAGCGACGCTGTCCGACCCTCGGACCGATCACAGGAGGTTGAGACAGCATTAAACAATAGAAGAAGAAGAAGCAGAGCAGTCTTCAACGACAGATAGAAGTTCTTGAATATCCAAAACAATGTCAAAGATATGAACTCATCTGTCTGGAGGACAGGTTTGATTCCTCTGTCACAGTCAGAGTCTCAGGATCAGTTCATGAAGAATCCATCTTGTTTTCAAGGAACCAACGTGTCGGAGCAGCTGATTTATAATCCAGCAGCTGCCGACAGCCAGCGTCCTCATGAGCCAATCAAAACACTCCTCTGGTTCAGCTCCTGAGCTGTTAAGAGACACACGGGACTCTGGACACAACAAACTAAAACCACTGCACAAGCCCCTGGGTTCTGAAGGGGACGGACAGACGGACGAGTTCATGGCCTAAAGTCAGCACCAACCAGTCCCAGGTCAAGATGAACCAGTCCGAGGTCAAGATGAACCAGTCCCAGGTCAACGACCAAATAAAGAGTTTATAATTCAAAGTCTGTAGACGAATCCAGAATCAAGACGAGCGAGTCTAGAGGCGACACAATGTGATCAGTCGCTGGCCAATCACAGCGCTGGTTCAAATTTGAGAGCAACAGTTCTCAAGTCAAAATCAAATGTTTGAGACAAAGTGGAGACCAACGTGTCCCGAGTGAAGACAAAGAAACATGAAGCTGTTTATTCTCTGTTGTTTCAGGGACACGTCTGGTCAGGGACGATTCTGCACCATATTCAGATCCTACTCCAGAGGAGCACAGGTGATCTTCATGAGACTTTTATTAAACCTCTGTTACACCTGCCGGTCAGGGCAGCTAATACTTAGTTAGCTTTGTGCCTTGTCGCTAATTAGCTACAGCTAGTGTTAAGTTAGCTTTGTTCCTCGTACCAGCTAACGAGGAACATATGATTACGTAACGTAATCATATGTTTGCTAGTGCTAGTGTTAGCTGGTGCTGTGTTGCTAGTAGCTTAGCCTAAATGTTGTGCTAGCTTTGTTCTTGCTACTGAAGCAAAAGCTTTTTTTATTCACATACATTCATTTATTTGTTTTATTTATTCACTGATTGATTTCTGACGTCACCACAACAAAACATCCAATGTGCAGATTTTCAATTATAAAAAATAAAACTGAGAAAACAAACAACACATTTATTTCAAAAAATTTAATCATTGCAATGAAATGATGTTTTCACTTGTTTTCATTTTTCATAAAATGTCATGAAAATGCTGGTTGCACATTATTTGTAATAAAAGTATATTTTCTCCTCTGCTCACCAGGGAGTTATTCTGGTGTATGACATCACCAACCGCTGGTCCTTTGATGGAATTGACAGGTGGATCAAAGAGATAGAC